ACTTAAGTCTATTCTCAGTTCATGGTCTTGGGGCCCTGGTTTCATTAGATCATAAATCCATTGATAAAAAAATACAAAAATCAAACTGGCTGTTAATGTTAAAAAAATCAAAAGCCTGAAAGGCTTCAATGGCGTCGAACAAGAAAAACAATTTCAAAAGATCTGCAAATAGGTCAAGTGAGTGACTCCAGTAACATAATAATAAAATTAAAAAAAATAGTCTTAACACAAATACAGTATATGGCCTGATAGCCTTGTGTCCTGGTCCGAATGAGTCAGGGTTCGAATTGACCAGACATCGTCAGAAATGTCCATCCTCTATATCAATCTAATTTCTTTTCAGTCAATCGAAGACATATGAAGGGTTTCATAAATTTTTTTAATTAATTGCCATTGTCAGAGTGTTGTTCTGTTGTATAGTGATTGCATCTTAACTACAACCATGACTCTAATGTTACAAGTACAATCGACTTACGATAAGGCGCGGTAAACAAATGGAGGAAATGGATAAATACAGTAATACTGGCATTATTGGTCAATATCGTAGGTTGTTCGGCTAAAATTGGATTGGAGATCGTAAAAGTAAAGCTAAGATTAAGAAATTCAATCTTTATAGTCTTGTTGTATTCGTGTTTATTTTACCGTATTTAAGATTGTTTGTATTACAGTAATCTGTCCCAAAATGTGATTCATGTCATTCGACGCACCCTCTCAGTAGAAATTCATCCGCAACAACCATAACGTTTTTCTTGTGTAAAAATTAAACATAATATCGTTGTTTTGTAGTAGTATTAATTGAAGATACAATTGATTTAATCTTATATTCAAGCTACACATGTATTATTCTATTGTGAACGTTTTAAAAGAAATTGGTTTACAGCTGTTGCTATTTCTATTGTGGAGCTACCACTGACACGTGCGGTCGCGTAAACCTGACTGATCGCTAGATGACGATCGGGCAAGCCCGACGCCATAAAAATGTAAAGGGAGGGAATAGGAGACGTTGTCATGTTGATAGTTACCTGGTAAGAGAGAATCATTTCATCAGCGATTTTTTTAGATGCTGTACACTGCTGCAGCTGGATCTTCAATTGACTTGCTTCATGTGAAGAGGCTACAAGGGAGAAATTATCAACATTCTTTTTTCCTCAAAAAATGCACTATAATTCACATTGCCTATTATCTTCATGACCATTAAATAAATTCAATGGAAGAATCAGAGTGTTTATCAGATACTCAAAGCAATATTTAATTAACAAAACAAGGTTCCTTCTCAAAATAAATGCTTAATAATATACCTTATCTTTATTGAACTTTTCTTTTCTTTGCATACCTGACTCCCAGGAGCATCCTGCATTGTTTCTGGGAATCTTCCAGGCTGCGGGTCAGACGATTGATGGTCTCGGCTCGTGAGATCTGTGAGTTCTCTGCTTCTTTATAACTCTCGTTTAGTTTCTGTCTCAAAGTAGAGTTCTCTGCATTCTGTAAAAAATGAATATTTGAATTTAATTTTTGAGTCTAGCTTATGTAAGAGAATAACCCATATTAATCTAAAATGATCACGGATTGCATAGTTACGTTATGTGCCAGTCTGCTATTTAAAAAGTTGAGAAAAACTTAGTTTATTTTATTTTTCTTAATTTCACAGGATTAAGAAATCATGTTCCAGTCTTTATTCACACACTTGTAATACATGTATATACTGTAGATCACTAAATTTTCGCGACACCTTATTTTCGCGAGTTAATCATTAACTCTTGATTAGTGAGACAAAATTTTCGCGAATTGTGGTTATTGCTCTATATATTCTTAAGGAATATTATTATATGCGAGAATTTATTTTCGCGAGCACACTGTCTCGCGTAATTACGCGAAAATAAAGTTCTCGCGAATAAAAAGTGATTTACAGTATTAAAGGAACTTCTAGTTAGTCTAAAATAATATCTTATAACAAACTAATTTTTCAATTTCTCAGTTTTCCCCCCTTATGTTTGCAGAAGTAAAATAATTACCAAATCATTGAGTTTATCAGTGAGATTCTCAATCTTTTCTTTGAGAACTTTGACCTCCTTGTCATGTCTCTCTCTGCTGAACTCCTGACAAAACTCGCTCATGCTCAACTCTAGCTCTGTTGAGACTGTCTGATGCCCCCATCTCAGCAAGCTGCTGGTTCAAAGTTTCAATCGTGGACTCGGCTGTTGCAGGCTTTTAACTGCCTGGAATGATATTATCAAAAAAAATAATAAACATACACTTTGTATTTCATCAAAAAATATCAAATCTTAAGGAATCTAAAAGATGCTGATTAACCACTGAAGAAAAGTGGAGAATAGTTCCTAACTGTGCACAAAAAATCTTGCACCTTTAATTGCACCTTTGTGCACAACAGGATCTATAATAACCTTATAATCAAAGACTCAGTCTAATTTTAAAAATATAAAACCATAATGCAACAGTTCTCCAGCTACATGTATGAACAAGCTTGAATCTACACTACCTAGGATGCTTCCATATAAATATCAACAATAATGGCTTTTCTGTTCTTCAGAAGAAGATTTTTAAAGATATTTCCTATATATTTCTACTGGCATCACCCCCATGGGGGTCACTGTATCAACAAAATTGAATGGCATTATGTCAAAGAATGTTTCACATAAGTTGCATCTTTTCTACAAACTTTTAAACTTTTTTCTTGAGGAGATTTTTTAAATACACCACCATTTTTTCATTACTTATTTCTAAAATTATCTCCCCTTATAAGAGTGTGTAACCCTTCATTTGAATAATTTTGAATCCCCTTTACCAAAGGACATTCTGTGTTAAGTTTGGTTAAAATTGGCCAAGTGGTTCTTGAGAAGAAAAAAAAATGTGAAAAGTTTATGACAAGAAAGAGACGACAATGACAACAGACAACAGACAAATTTTGATCTGAAAAACTCACTTGAGCTTTTGGCTCAGGTGAGCTAAAAGGAGTTAAACAAACAAACTTTTATATAGGGAACAAACCATTTTTAAAGGTCTGATTTATGCATGACTAACTAACTCAAATTACTTTTCTTATCTATATAGCTTTAATGATGACCCAGTTTTAAGCTTTGAAAATTTAAATCCACTGACTACCACGAGAAGGTAGAAAAGACTGTATATTGATCTAGAAAATTCATTACACCAGCTTAAAACAAAAGTTAAAAAAATGTTGAATTTTATAGAGAATTGACAGTCAAAGGTAAGTATGTTTTGTTATTAAGTCAATGATTAAATGCTGAACCAATAATGTAAAATTTTAAAAACTTTTTCATGTACAGCATTGAAAATATCTTCTTATTTCTTTTAACTTCTTAATAGATAATTTTTTTTATTTTGTGAATTTGTATGACTGACTTGCTTATGGTACAACATTATCGAGTGTTTATTTATGCATATGCATCAATATGACAATTAAAAATTCTATGAATGTCAATGATGGCATCATTGCCGTGTACTTCAACCAGGTAAATATGATTTTATTCTAATCCTAGGCATCACAATAGGTCTGGCTACCGCCCAAGGACAGGACGTAATTCGCTCTGGATTGTTGCTCAAACCCTGTTGAACATCATTGCAATCTTTGTCACGTTGACCTCTGCCTATCATGCATACCAAAACATATGGCAGATAAATCAAGAAGACATGAAGTTGTAGAATATACTTCCAAAAAAGAACAAGCGGTTATTCTTCCATCATGTCTTACACACAAGAAATACCAATGTGAGACGTATTGCAAAGACTGTAAAATACCAATATGTCTTCAGTGCTTGATGGGTTGGCATAAAAAGCATGAGTTTACTGATATTAATGCTATTCTTCAAGAGCATAAAGAAAAAATTATTTCTGACACAGAAGAACTGGAAAAAACAATTGTTCCAAAATACAGACACATCAACCTATGTACAACTGCCGAGTTTGACAAAGGTCTCTCTGCCATTAAAGAACAAGAAGATAAAATCTGCCAAGCTGTACATAAAAAAAGTACTCAGCTCACAGAAGAAGTAAGCATTCGAAAGAAAGAAGCTATAAGAAAGAACAAAGAATGCCAGTCTTCAGCTGAAAAAGCTGCAAAAGAAGTCAATCAAATTGTCAAAAAAAATAACGATATTCTTAAAGGTAATGATGCCACAGCCATACTTAATTATCAATCAAGGAATAGAGAATTTCCGAAAAGGCCCAGAATTACCAAGTTTTACTTGTCCAAAGTTATTCCCTGGCATTATTAAAGAAAACCAAATTGCAGAAATGTTCGGCGTTCTTCAAGCACTGGGGATGAAGTGCAGAACAACTCTGGAATGCTGAAAATGATGGCTGACCCTTTGGTTCTAGACACAATACAAAGTCCTTATGGAGGTTGGACAGGGCTGTGGAGAATTCAGTGTGTGGGGAGAGATAAGATCTTTGATCTCTGGAAATGACAAAACAATCAAAGAGATAGACAGGGCTGGATCTATTCTACAAACAATTCATACAAATAATGATGTGCTGGCATTGACTCTCAATTCACATCTGGAACCAGTGTTTTCCTTACATAATGCTGTTAAACAAAATACAGACATTTATATTTATACTAGGAATGAAATGAATGTATTATTTAACACACTCAACTGGTTTCCTGTCGGTCTTTGTTACAAAGAGAATGGAGATCTACTGGTGAGTATGAGAATGATATCTACAGATAAAGACAGAGTGAGTGGTGAGATACTCGGTACAAAGAGATTCAGAAGATCCATACGACAGTAGGGACAACCTTATTTTCTACTGGTGTAAATCATATTTCAACTGTGCTTCTCCTGACTGAGAATGGTAATGGTGACATCTGTGTTGCTGACTATGAAAAGAAGGCAGTTGTTGTGGTGGATTCTTCTGGGGACTACGATTCAAGTATACAGGCAACCTGTGCAAGTCTAAACAATCTAAATTCAAAGACTTTATCCCACTTAACATTGCTTCTGATGTCAACACTCAAATACTGATTAGTGATGACTCAAACAACATTGTCCACATCATTGACTGTGATGGTAATTTTCTCTTTTATTTAGAATATCCGTGTGATGGGGGACTGAGTATTGATGCAGATCACAATCTTGTGATTGGAAAAGAAGGTACAAGAATCATTCAGATTATCAAATACCTAGAGTGATGGACAGTATGAAGATTTAATACATTCAAGAGAGTGTGTCGTCATATTTCCTTTGAAAGTGTACAGTTTTACTTTGCAAATAAAAAGTGTGTGGAAAACCATATCAGAGATTCATTATTCAGCTCTTCAAAAAGCTATAAGAAGTACCTGTATTTTGTATGTTAAATGCACCTTGAATTAATTCAATATCAACTCACAACAAGAGGCCCACGGGCCTTATAGGTCAACTGAGAATCATGTAACAACTTTCCAACAATTGAATTTGGTTCCTGTTTTAAACCAGAGGCTATGAAATTCACAATTTTGAAAGAGGCACCATTGCTTATCATAATTGTAAACTTGGCATGCTTATGCTATTTACTTAATACCCAGAGGTAGATCAGAATAACAAAGAGAAAATGCACTTCCACTTTATAACCAGTTGTGCACCCCACCCCAAAGGAACCACTGAACCTGGAGCCACATATTTCAAAATTTTTTCATAAATTTTATTTCATCATAAATGGTTGATTAATACCAAAGAGCAGATTTCAAAGCATTAATTTATTTCAGACTATGTACCCCCCCCCCCCTTCTGATACCTCTGACCCAGGGGGCATGGAATTAACCATTTTGCTAGATGCACCTTTCTTCATCATAAATATATGTACTTGGATCATTAGCATAATACCCAGGAGCAAAGGAAAAGATTTTCAAAGAATTAATGTATTTTTACTATATATTCATAAGAGCCCCCCCTCCGCACACCAAATGGCAAAACCTCTGACACAGGGGCCATGACATTCACAATTTTGAAAGTAGTACTCTTGCTCATCATAACTATGTACTTAGTTAGTTTATTTAAGATTTTTGAAGAATTAATGCATTTTCACTATATAATCAAAAGAGCCCCGCCCTAACACCAGAACCCCTGACCCTGGGGCCATAAAATTCACAATTTTGGAAGAGGCACTCTTGCTTAATATAACTATCCACTTAATTTGGATTTTTGGGGTAAAATCCGTGTTCATGAGATATTTACACTTACCTGCCTCCTTAACTATTTGCAATTTCCCTCTAGTTCCCCATACAATGCGTCGATATATTTTTTAGAGTAACTACGGTATCACCTCCAGTTATCCCCCTTAACTATAACTCTTCAGTTTCTTCACGAACTTAAAAGGTTCTGACCTTTCAACTTCCTCGAGAGGGGAGGTGGGCTGGGTAGGCAGGTAAGTGTAAATATCTCATGAACACGGTTTTCCCAAAAATCCAAGTTCATTTCAATATTTCCACTTACCTGCCTCCTTAACTATTTGCAAAAGAATTTGCAGCCCAGTTTGGAGGTGGGAGAGGAAAAGTAAGTGACAAAAGTACATAAAAGGTACATAATTACCTATTTTTGCTTCCCTCTCCTTGATGAGTCCAAAATTGCTGCCTTGGCAAAAATGGACTGATGATCTGGAACATCTTTCAGATAAAATGATGTAAAGGTAGATTCAGATGCCCAGTGTGCTGCCCGTAAAATCTCCTCTGCAATACACCACAGAACAAAGCCCAGGAAGTTGACAAACGTCTAGTGTCATGTGCTCTAACTAGATTCAATGTTGCTGCTTCTGCATTATCATAAGCAAAACGAACCATGTTAACTATCCATCTTGCAATAGTGTCTTTTGATGCTTCCTTGTGGTTATTCTGTTGGTATGTCACAAATAACCTATTTGACTTCCGAATAGTTTTCGTTCTATTGATATAAATCTTCAATGCACGACAAGGACACAATTTTAAATACTCTGAATCTGTGGCGAATGAATCAAATGCAGGAATATAAATAGGGTCCCATGGTCTATTTATAGTTTGAGTCTTTGCCAGGAATTCCATATTTGGTAACATTTTTATTCCTTTCCTCTCTATTCTAAAGTGACCATCATCTAAAGTGAGGCTATGAATCTCGCTCACTCTCGAAGCTGAAGCTATGGCTACCAGAAAAACAGTTTTAAGAGTCAAAAACTTTAGATCTGCTGACTCTAGTGGTTCAAATGGATGTTTTGTGAGAGTTAACAAAACCAGTGGTAAATTCCAGTTCGGTGTCAACTGACGTACAGATGGTGTTTATTAAATAAACCTTTCAACAATGAAGACAGTTCTGTACTTGTACCAATACTGCTCCCATTCTGATGAACTATTGCTATTGCTGACTTGTATCCAGCTATAGTCTGTGGTTTACACTTTCTCACATTGAAGAGATACATAAAAAATTATGCTAACTCTGGTATAGATGTTGTAATGGGATTAACACCCTGTTCTTTACACCAACTGTTATATATTCTGAGTCTTGCATCATAAACTGTTTGTGTAGATGTCTTTCTGGCATTTGCCATAATTTCTGCAATTTCTTCAGAAAATCCTCTTGACTTGTGTTGCAATTTGACAGTTTCCATGCTACAAGATTGAGAGTTTCTAGATTTTGATGGAAAATCTGATTGCGATTTTGAGAGAGAAGATCTGGCCACAGTGGTAGTTTGACTGGTACGTCGATCAGAAGATCTATTATCTGAGGATACACGACTGTCTGGGCCACATTGGAGCAATGAGAAGTACAACACTTTGCTCTTCCCGTATCTTCTGCAAGACTTTGGGGCACAAGAATAGGTGGTGGGAATGCATAAGCATAAATCCCTTCCCAACTCATTGCTAAGGCATTTACTTGAAAAGCATTGATGTCCGGAAATGGGGAGCAATAGACTGGCAACTTCTTGTTTTGCGCAGTTGCAAACAAGTCTATACATGGAGTTCCTAATTGTTGGAACAATAAATTTACAACAGTTTTGTTGAGTGACCATTCTGTCATTCAACTTTTTTCCCCCGGGAAAGTGCATCTGCAAGAAAATTCTTCTTCCCTGGAATGTTAACAGCTCGTATTGTAATTTTGTTCTCCATGCACCACTGGAACAACTCCCAAGTTAGATAACACAGTTCTGGTGAGTGTGTCCCCCCTTGTTTGTTGATATAGCTTATCACTGTTGTGTTGTCTGACCGTATAAGGATCACTTTTCCCTTTATCAAAAACAGAGCTTCTTGAAGAGCCAACTGAACTGCCTTTAGCTCCAGCCAATTTATATGCTTCTGTTGATATTGCTGCGGCCAGACCCCTGACGTCTTCCAGTTCTCCAGGTGTGCTCCCCAACCCTGTTCTGAGGCATATGTTATCAATGTCAGTTGAATTTGGGGATCCTGTAAAGGCATTCCTTTGAAAAATTTTTCCCCGATTCATCCACCACTGAAGGTGCCGAATTAGGATTGGCCGGATCACTATCACATGAGTAAGAGGGTGAATCTTTGGTCTCCACATTGCCAACAGGTATAACTGTATGGGACGCATGTGTAACCTTCCCATCGGAACCAAATAAATGCATGAAGCCATAAGTCCTAACAATTTGAGGATAACTACTGCTTGAGTGTGTTGACTTATTGATAAAGTCTGCACTATGTCTGAAATACTCTGAAACCTGGCCTTGTTGGTGTCGCAATGCCCTCTACCAGATTGAAATGTGCTCCCAGGTACTCTATATGTTGGGATGGCACTAGAGACGACTTTTCCCAATTCACTAATAATCCAAGCTCCTGAACTAGATGTAATACATAGTCTCTCTGTTGAAGAAGAGTTCTCTTGTCTGGATTGATCATCAACCAATCGTCTAGGTACATGAATATTTGGATTATCATTTTTCTCAAGTGTGCCGCTAGAACTGCCATTATCTTTGTGAAGACCCTTGGAGCAGAACGAAGTCCAAATGGCATTGCTCGAAACTGGTAACTCTGGCCTAGAAATCTGAATCTTAGAAATTTCTGGAAATCTGTGTGAATTGGAATATGGAAATAGGCATCGGTCAAATCTAGTGAGATTGCAAAGTCCCCTTTTTTCATTGCTTTCATTATAGAACACAAAGTTTCCATTTTGAAATGTCGAGGCACTATTAACTGATTTAGAGGTTTTAGATTTAGAATTGTCCGAAGCCCTCCTTGTTTCTTTGGCACCACAAAAATGGTGCTGTAAAACCCTTCGTTTTTTGCCCTGCAGGCACAGGTTCTATAACATTTTTTCCTGACAACATGTTTATTTCTGCTAAAATAACTGATTCGTGAATACCATATCTTGGTACACATGTTTCCTTGATATTTACATTGGGTTGAATCATTAACTCCAATTTTAACCCTTCCCTTAGGGTTTCTATTACCCACTGATCCTGCGTGATTACGGTCCACTTCCTGTGGAATTCTAGCAAACGTGCCCCTACCTGGGGAAACATATTTACAGACTGGCTGTTTACGAGATTTACTTCCTTGGAGTTGGAAACCCTTTCTGGTTCCCAAAGGTTCTCCTGGAAAAAGAATTTTTCCTGTTCCCTTGTCCTGAACGAAAATTGTCCTTGCTGTGATCAGAACTTAAGGCATTAGTCTCATTAGACTTAGGGACTTTTGCAGAATGAGCAGAGGTCTCATTTACATCTGCTTTCCTCTTTCTGCTCAACTCGGTAGAGTTCCTATTCTCTCTACTCTTGTAGTTCTTATTATAACCCTTTGATGCGTTGTAAACATTTTGGGTTTCTCTAGCATCTCGTAGATTCTCTGCAGAAGCATGGAGAGAATCAAAGTACTGTTCATTAAACAACTGGTTGCCAAAAACGGGTAGTTTTAGCAATTTCTTCTCCGTTGCCTTGCTTATAAAATCTACATTTTTAAGAAAAACTTTTCTTCTACTCAAGACTGAATTTGCCATCACTCTTGCTGTCAAATCAGCCATGCTTCTGAAACAGTTGATGAGGGCTTTACGTCCTTCCACTCGATCATCCTCACATTCAGCCTCATCTAAGAAAGCTGCTATCATAGTGCCATATGAAATGGCTCTGAATAAGGCTCTTGCTGAATTGTCAATTCGCCGAAAGTCATTATCTAACTCCTTATGAAAAGGAGAAAGATTCACTTTTGATTTTCCAAAACTACCCTTCTGGCCTACTACT